GAGAAGATGATGGAGGAGGGGAGGAGAGAGAAGCGAGGGGAGAAGGGTGGATAGTATCCTCCTCCTCCCTCCTCCTTCTCTCCCCTTCCTCCATTCCACCTTCTCCCTCCTTCCTCCTCCTCCTCCTCCCCTACTCATCACTTCTCTCCTCCTCCTCCTCCCTTTCTCCCATGACCTTCTCATTCATCTCCATCACCTTCTCCTGCTCTCCTCCTCTCCCTCCTCCCCCTCCTCCTCCTTGCCGCCCGCTTACTCCTTCTCCCCCTACTCATCACCTATCTCCCTCCTTCCTCCTCCTCTTCCCCTCCTCCCCTCTCGTCCTCATTCCCGCCCCTCCTCCCTCCTCCTCCGCCCTACTCGCATCACCTCCTCCTGCGTTTCTTCTCCTGCTCTCTTCTTTTCTCCTCCTCGCTGCTCCTCCTGCCTCCTCCTCGCATCCTCCATGACCGTCTTCATTCGATCTCCATCACTTCTCGCTCTCCTCCTCTCCCCTTCCTCCCCTCATCTCCTCCCTCCTCCTCCTGCCTCCTCCTCCCATACTCCATTTCACCTTCTCCACCTCCTCCTGCCCCTCCCCTCCTCCTCCTCCTCCCCCTACTCCATCACCTCCTCCTCTTCCTCCTCCTCCTCTCCTCCTCATTCCTCCTCCTCATCCTCCTCCCTCCTCCTCTCCGCCTCCTCCTCTCCTGCCCCCTACTCCTCCTCCATGACCTTCATTCGATCTCCATTACCTTCCTCTGCTCCTCCCCTCCTCCTCCCCCTCTTAATGCACGCTACTTCCTCCTCCATGACCTTCTTCATTCGATCTCCCACTTACCTTCTCTTGCTCCTCTCCTCCCCTTCCTCCCTCCCCTCCCCTCCTCTCCTCCTCCTCTCCTCCCTCCTCCTCCTCCCCCTACTCCATCAGCCTTCTTCCCCTCCTCTTCCTCCTCTCTTCCATCCTGCCCCTACTCCTCCTCCATGACCGTCTTCAATTCGCATCTCCATCTCTCAGGGCCAGGTAACGTACTCGGGGGGCAGGTACGTTTATGTAAAACACAGGGTACATATATGCTGAGAAGATACAGGTCGGACACTGACCTTGTGTACATACATATACATACCTCGGTACATATTTGTGTACCTGGGCGGTTCACAAAAGCGTTACTCAACTCAAGTATGATTAAATCACTAATCATACTTAACTTCCCGTAATTATGATTATTAATTCATACTCAAAATCTTGTCACAAGCGATTATAAGTACATATTTAACTAATTACATAATTAGCCGACTTTCAACATGAATAGGAGCTGTACTCGCTCCTCTCGGTTTATGCTGTACTCGATGGGAATCGAATAATCGAGGTGGGCGCGAGCCTACCAGTCTTAAAACAAATTACCACGCGTATTTAATATGGGGACCAATACGCCAAAATATTCTTCTAAGTTCGATACATGAAATGGAATTAATTTGTAACATATAATGATTGAAGTACCAGTACAGCAAATCTTAGATAATTTAATTTTCCTTTGGCGAAAAATTGACTAGTTAAAATTTCCAATTGTAAAATCTGCAGGTACTTAATATACTAGCTACTAGCCTAATTCTCAGTTCTAGTACTGAGTAACTACATTATGATTAGTGATTTAATCATGCTCCTGGTAGAATTAATATTGCTGATTAACTTAATCAGTGATTTTAAAGTAATTTACGCTCATGTGAAACAGTCACTTTATTTAAGTATGAGAAGTTGAATAGATTCAGTGATTTCATCACGATTCATACTAAGTACGCTTCGTCGTGAAACCGGCCCCTGATACGACAACGACCCCTTCAGCATAAGTGACCTAAAAAATATTAGAGGAATTTTTCTAACCAATGTCCTAAGTAAAATAGTTAATTAATTAATCTGGAAACGCAAACAAAAAATCATGGATACTTGCCAAAATCAATGTGGTATTTGGGGATATTCAAAAATGTTTTGATAGCCTGTGGCTAAAAGACGCAATGGTGGAACTATAGTTTAGAGGATTGAAGGGACCATGCTGGGAGATAATTGTAT